CCAACGTGTCGTTCGGACGACCAGGGACCCAGGACGTGTGACGATGGCACGACCTACGCCTGTTTCTGTGACGGTGTGAGGGAGTGTCCCGGAGGAGAGGACGAGGCCGGGTGCGGCTCAAGCGGTAAATAGTGTCCCTTTTTTCTTTGGTTTGTCTTTAGTCTCCCCCCTTTTGCAGAGCCCTTTCGCTTCCGTTTCAATTGAGCGTCTTTCTGGGTAGAACTTAGTATACAAGCCGTGGTGTTTGTATGCAAACAAATATGTGTGTTGGCTGAAATATCAGCAATTTATTTCAGCTGAAACTCCTTGAGTGTCCCTCGTTCTTCACCTGCTTTATCCTGAGTTCTCCTCTATCCTCAGTGGCGTAGCTTTGGGTTTAAAGCCTATGGGTCCTCTCTTCGGCAAAGGGCCCTGGAGGGCGCTCTAGGCTGCCGGGTGCTTGATTTTAGCGCTATTTTGAGTGATTCTGGAGCGCTCCGGGTGCCCTGAACTTCTGTAAAAACCGCATGGAAGTTATGCCACTGTCTTTCCCCGCCTTCGACGGCAACTTCAGCTCATATTATTGAGAGGAATGAGTCCATATTTTGATGCAAAAACAGTATTCCAGTTTCTAAGTTGGCAATTGGACTATGGTTTTGCTATATTTCTCCGATGATTCATATGAAGTTCCTCGTCTCAAACCAACCGACATTACGACGTCGTAATTTACTTCGATGCGATTTGCGCTTTCAGCCATCTTCTAACCTTTTCGTTTCAACTCGAACTAACAATACATAGTAAGGAATAACTCATTATTTACAACAATACAGTTAAATATATATGCTTTTGTTATATGATTTTATAAACATTTACTATACTGAATAATGGTTCATAGCATTTACACATGATATAAATTTCAGTATGTTTCAGTACAGAACATTTTTTTCACCATATACATAACTGGTCAGATTCCAAACAGTTGTTAAAACAAGCTTCACAGTTGCTCCTCATGAAAGCGAAACTTTGCGGCCTAGTCTTTGTGGCGAATCGTTGAGCGGAGAAAGAACAAAAGACCAAAAAGCAAGAAAAAAAGAGCGAGAGAGTGAGGATGTCCCTCTAAGCATAACCTAACGCCTTGCCGCCCCTCTGGTTCCGCCTCTCTCGCCAGGGTGCAGACAGGACCAGTTCTCCTGCGACGACGGCACGCAGTGCATCGAGGGCAACCAAGTGTGCGACGGGAACCAGCATTGCTTCGACAACACTGACGAAGACCCAGCCCAGTGCACCCCCGGTCGGTAGAGCTTGCGACCCCCTCCCTTGCCCCCCTTTGCGCCCTCCCCCACTCATTTACAGCCCCCCCCCCCCCCGCTAGCGATTTTGCTCCTCCTTTTAGTCAACTCAGGCGGGGCTTTGGGTGAATATTTTCATCTGAATATCAATGCCTTTCATCTGTGTGTGTGTGTATGCATTTGCATGTTCACTTATGTGTGTGCGCATGTGCACACACACACATACATGTACTTATAAGCATATGTGTTTGTGTGTGTGTGTGTGCGTGTGCGTGTGCGTGTGCGTGTGCATGTGCGTGTTCGTGTGCGTGCGTGCATTATATATATATATACACATATATATATGTACATGTATATGTATATATATTTATCTATTTATATATTTGTATATATACATACACACGCATATATATATATATATATATATATATATATATATATATATATATATATATATATATATATGCGTGTGTATGTATATATACAAATATATAAATAGATAAATATATATACATATACATGTATATATATATGTATGTATATATATATATATATATATATATATATATATATATATATATATGTACATGTATATGTATATATATTTATCTATTTATATATTTGTATATATACATACACACGCATATATATATATATATATATATATATATATATATATATATATATATATATATATATATACTAAAAAGACCAACTTGTAGCATCCTGAAAACCCAAACACTGATCCACTGATTGACGTTGGCTCGTGTTCGCAACAAATCAGAGGATCATCTAAAGTTGATCTGAAATTGAAAGTTTAAAAAAAAGAGATTACTATTCTATTCACGCTATAAAGTCAATAGAAACCCAACTTCGAGCCTAACAGAACGAAAAGACATTTCAACAAGGACAAATATCGTGAGCGTAAAGGGTGAACGTGTGAATATGTGTTAAAGTGCTTCGGGTTTCAGAGATGCTACAGAAAAGGCCTATATATGTATATGTGTGTGTGTGTTTGTATGTGTGTTTGTGTTGTGTGTGTATGTGTTTGTGTTTGTGTGTGTGTGTGTGTTTGTGTTTGTGTTGTGTGTGTATGTGTATATTTGTATATATGTATGTGTATGTATATGCAAGTACATATATGTATATATACGTGAGTGGGTGTGTGTGTATATATATATATCTACTTTATATATAAATATATATATATATATATATATATATATATATATATATATATATATATATTATACATATGTATATATGTATAAATATATATGTGTGTAATATATATGCATTATATATATATATATATATATATATATATATATATATATATATATATATATATATACATACATACACATATCATTTAAATATATACTATATATATGTATATATACATATACATATATACACATATACATACATGCTATATACATATACATACATACATACATATATATATATATATATATATATATATATATATATATATATATATATATATATATATATGTGTGTGTGTGTGTGTGTGTGTGTGTGTGTGTATGTACATATATATATATATATATATATATATATATATATATATATATATATATATATATATTCATATATGCATATATATACATATTTATATGCATGTATGTATATATGTATGTATATATGTATTGATAGAAAGACAGATGGATACACGTGTATTTATTTGACTGGTTGACTACTTTTAACACATTTCGCATTCAACAATCACGATGCCCTTAAAACTGAACACTAAACTCAAACGCAAATCATGTAGGCCTCTTTTTCTTGAGATCTGAGTTGCTGAGTGTGCATGGGAACGAAAAGAAGTATGCAAATTGGTGTTGATATAGCCCCAGGGAGTCCTGTGATCAAGGTCAAGAGAATACAAGGTTATTTTCCCCCCCAGTTTGCATAGGTGATGACGTCAGTTAATGCAAAATATTACATTAGCTTAAAGATGATTTTCATCGCTATCCAGTCCATGGGTTAAAAAGGAAACCAAAACGCAGGAACATCATATAGATAAATCTATTATAGTGCTAGTTGAATAATTGTCAGTAAAGCGGTTCGAATCACTGATTGTGACGTCACAACCTAGGTGCATAGAAGACAGCCAATTTTGAGACAACCTAAACAGACCTTGTAATTTCTTGGCCTTGCTTGACTACAAAGAAAGGGAGTTTGCATTTACGATGTCTGAAAAAATGTAGATATAGCGAAATAAAGCAAAGGGAAGGAAAAGCTCCCAACAAACATTAAGAAAATGAACGAACGTTATCCTTAGCACGACCAACGTGTCGCTCGGACGACCAGGGACCCAGTACGTGTGACGATGGCACGACCTACGCCTGTTTCTGTGACGGTGTGAGGGAGTGTCCCGGAGGAGAAGACGAGGCCGGGTGCGGCTCAAGCGGTAAATAAGTCCCCCATTTAGTATTCTCACTTTTATTGTGCTGCTTCATGGTTTCAGCTGATGTTCCCCGCCTCTTTGGCTTTATTATTTCGTCTTCCCTTGTCATGACCGCCTTTTGCAAGAGCTGTATACTAACACGTGTTCCGGGTGTGTTTTTCGGTATCTTCTGAAACGGCGATTGATTAGTGTTTGGCGAGACTGCTCGTCCGCATTATTCTAGCCTTAAAGTTGGAAAGTAGACTGAGGTTCTCTTGTATTTCCCCTACGACCCTCGCCCAGACTCCTCTGTCTGTCCTACAAGCCGACTCCTGCTCCTGCTACAAGCGACCTCTGTAACGTTCTCCTTGGTGCGATTTGTAGGCGAAGCGATTCAGACACTAACACGATTCAGTTTGATGTATCTTTAACCTTACGTAGTGAATGATGGTGACATACACACCATAACAACACAAACTTTGTATGTTAATATATAAGGATTATACAGCATGGGAGACGGGATAAAATGTGTGTTAATGCCAGACATGGGAGTTATGCTAGTCTCTCCCCGCTTTCGACGACAACTTCAGCTCAAATTATCGCGAGAAATGCGTTCCACATTTTGATGCAAAAACAGTATTCCAATCGCTGAGTTGGAAGTTGATTTGTACTTTTGCTGTATTTCTCCGATGATTCATATGAAGTTCTTCGTCTCAAACCAACCGACATTAAGACGTCGCCCATTTTCTTTGATGCGATTTGTACTTTCAACTATCTAACCTTTTCCGTTTCAACTCGGACTAACAATACATAGTAAGGAATAACACATTATTTGCAACATTACAGTTATATGTATCATTTTTAAAACATTCACCATACTGAATAATATTATAAAGCACATACACAGATGATATAAATTTTAACATGTTTCAGTACATCACTTTTACAACAATTTGTCATGATATACATAGGTGTTCAGATTCCAAACAGTTGTTATAGCAAGCTTCACAGTTGCCCCTCCTTATGAAAGCGAAACTTTGCGGCCTGGTCTTTTTGGCGAATCGTTGAGCGGAGAAAGAACGAAAGACCAAAAAGCAAGAAAAAAAGAGCGAGAGAGTGAGGATGTCCCTCTAAGCATAACCTAACGCCTTGCCGCCCCTCTGGTTCCGCCTCTCTCGCCAGGGTGCAGACAGGACCAGTTCTCCTGCGACGACGGCACGCAGTGCATCGAGGGCAACCAAGTGTGCGACGGGAACCAGCATTGCTTCGACAACACTGACGAAGACCCGGCCCAGTGCACCCCCGGTCGGTAGAGCTTGCGACCCCCTCCCTTTCCCCCCTTTGCGCCCTCCCTCTTCGGAAGGTCAGCGCGAGACTAACTCCTCAGAACTCGGTCATTCATTTAGCCCCCCCCCCCCCCTAGCGATTTTGCTCCTCCTTTCACTCGACTCTGCTTTTGGCGAATACTTTCATTTGAATATAATTGCTTTCTTCTGTGTGTGTATGTACACACATACATACACACACACGTATATATGTGTGTGTGTGTGTGTGTGTGCGCGTGCGTGCGTGTGCGTGTGTGTGTGTGTGTGTGTACACATACATACATACCTACACACACATATGTGTGTGTGTGTGTGTGTATGAATAAATGGAGAGATAGATAGAATAGAACACATTTCGCATTCAACATTCAACGCACTGAAAGCTAGATTCTTTTTCTCGAGTTGTGGGTTGTAATGAGTGTGCATGAGGACGAAAAGTATGTAAATTGGCGTTACAGTATTCATAAAGCGCCAGGGAGTCATTTGATCAAGGTCAAGAGAATACAAGGCTATTCCCCCTCAGTTCGCACGGGCGATGACGTCAGCGGCAGTGCAATTGATGGAGACAGACGTAAAATAGTAAATTAATTTAAGAGTAATTTTCATCGCCATTCATCCGTAAGGGTTTCAAAAGGAAAACCTAAATGAGGGAAGATCGTATTTACTGTATGTATAGAACGCATTTATTGTAGTGCTGGCCAAAAGATTATAAGTGAAGCGGCTCGAGTCACTGATTGTGACGTCACAATCCAGGTGTATAGAAGACAGCTAATTCTGAGACAACCTAAACAGACCTTGTATTCTGTTGGCCTTACTTGACCACAAAGGAAGGGAGTTTGCATTTACGATGCCTGAAAAAAAATGTAGATATAGCTATATAAAGCAAAGGGAAGGAAAAGCTCCCAGCAAACATTAAGAAAATGAACGAACGTTATCCTTAGCACGACCAACGTGTCGCTCGGACGACCAGGGACCCAGGACGTGTGACGATGGCACGACCTCAGCCTGTTTCTGTGACGGTGTGAGGGAGTGTCCCGGAGGAGAGGACGAGGCCGGGTGCGGCTCAAGCGGTAAATAAGTCCCCCATTTAGTATTCTCACTTTTATTGTGCTGCTTCATGGTTTCAGCTGATGTTCCCCGCCTCTTTGGCTTTATTATTTCGTCTTCCCTTTTCATGACCGCCTTTTGCAAGAGCTGTATACTAACACGTGTTCCGGGTGTGTTTTTCGGTATCTTCTGAAACGGCGAATGATTAGTGTTTGGCGAGACTGCTCGTCCGCATTATTCTAGCCTTAAAGTTGGAAAGTAGACTGAGGTTCTCTTGTATTTCCCCTACGACCCTCGCCCAGACTCCTCTGTCTGTCCTACAAGCCGACTCCTGCTCCTGCTACAAGCGACCTCTGTAACGTTCTCCTTGGTGCGACTTGTAGGCGAAGCGATTCAGACACTAACACGATTCAGTTTGATGTATCTTTAACCTTACGTAGTGAATGATGGTGACATACACACCATAACAACACAAACTTTGTATGTTAATATATAAGGATTATACAGCATGGGATACGGGATAAAATGTGTGTTAATGCCAGACATGGGAGTTATGCCAGTCTCTCCCCGCTTTCGACGACAACTTCAGCTCAAATTATCGCGAGAAATGCGTTCCACATTTTGATGCAAAAACAGTATTCCAATCGCTGAGTTGGAAGTTGATTTGTACTTTTGCTGTATTTCTCCGATGATTCATATGAAGTTCTTCGTCTCAAACCAACCGACATTAAGACGTCGCCCATTTTCTTTGATGCGATTTGTACTTTCAACTATCTAACCTTTTCCGTTTCAACTCGGACTAACAATACATAGTAAGGAATAACACATTATTTGCAACATTACAGTTATATCATTTTTAAAACATTCACCATACTGAATAATATTATAAAGCACATACACAGATGATATAAATTTTAACATGTTTCAGTACATCACTTTAACAACAATTTGTCATGATATACATAGGTGTTCAGATTCTAAACAGTTGTTATAGCAAGCTTCACAGTTGCTCCTCCTTATGAAAGCGAAACTTTGCGGCCTGGTCTTTTTGGCGAATCGTTGAGCGGAGAAAGAACGAAAGACCAAAAAGCAAGAAAAAAAGAGCGAGAGAGTGAGGATGTCCCTCTAAGCATAACCTAACGCCTTGCCGCCCCTCTGGTTCCGCCTCTCTCGCCAGGGTGCAGACAGGACCAGTTCTCCTGCGACGACGGCACGCAGTGCATCGAGGGCAACCAAGTGTGCGACGGGAACCAGCATTGCTTCGACAACACTGACGAAGACCCGGCCCAGTGCACCCCCGGTCGGTAGAGCTTGCGACCCCCTCCCTTTCCCCCCTTTGCGCCCTCCCTCTTCGGAAGGTCGGCGCGAGACTAACTCCTCAGAACTCGGTCATTCATTTAGCCCCCCCCCCCTTAGCGATTTTGCTCCTCCTTTCACTCGACTCTGCTTTTGGCGAATACTTTCATTTGAATATAATTGCTTTCTTCTGTGTGTGTATGTACACACATACACACACACGCGCGTATATATGTGTGTGTGTGTGTGTGTGTGTGCGTGTGTGCGTGTGTGTGTGTGTGCGTGTGTGCGTGTGAGTGTGTGTGTGTGTGTGTGTGTGTGCGTGTGTGTGTGTGTGCGTGTGAGTGTGTGTGTGTGTGTGTGTGTGTGTGTGTGTGTGTGTGTGTGTGTGTGTGTGTACACATACATACATACATACACACACAATCATATATATATGTGTGTGTATGTGTGATTGTGAGTGAGTGAGTGTGTCTGTGTGTCCGCGTGTTCGTGCGTGCGCGCTTGATTGCTTGCTTGCGCGTGTGTGCATGAGCACATGTGTAATATATATGTATATAATATACGTGTATATATTCATACATATACATATACATATACATGTATATATACATATACATATATATATACATGTAGATATATACATATATATATATACATATATATTTAGATATATATATATACACATATATATACATAAATATATACATATATATACATATATGTGTGTGTGTGCACATATATATACTTATATTTATTTACACACACACAGACACACATTAGATGTGTGTCTGTGTGTGATGGACAGAGATGAGATGGAGAGATAGATAGAATAGAACACATTTCGCAGTCAACATTCAACGCACTGAATGCTAGATTCTTTTTCTCGAGTTGTGAGTTGTAATGAGTGTGCATGAGAACGAAAAGTATGCAAATTGGCGTTACAGTATTCATAAAGCGCCAGGGAGTCATTTGATCAAGGTCAAGAGAATACAAGGCTATTCCCCCTCAGTTCGCACGGGCGATGACGTCAGCGGCAGTGCAATTGATGGAGACAGACGTAAAATAGTAAATTAATTTAAGAGTAATTTTCATCGCCATTCATCCGTAAGGGTTTCAAAAGGAAAACCTAAATGCGGGAAGATCGTATTTACTGTATGTATAGAACGCATTTATTGTAGTGCTGGCCAAAAGATTATAAGTGAAGCGGCATGAGTCACTGATTGTGACGTCACAATCCAGGTGTATAGAAGACAGCCAATTCTGAGACAACCTAAACAGACCTTGTATTCTGTTGGCCTTGCTTGACCACAAAGGAAGGGAGTTTGCATTTACGATGCCTGAAAAAAAATGTAGATATAGCTATATAAAGCAAAGGAAAGGAAAAGCTCCCAGCAAACATAAAGAAAATGAACGAACGTTATCCTTAGCACGACCAACGTGTCGCTCGGACGACCAGGGACCCAGGACGTGTGACGATGGCACGACCTCAGCCTGTTTCTGTGACGGTGTGAGGGAGTGTCCCGGAGGAGAGGACGAGGCCGGGTGCGGCTCAAGCGGTAAATAAGTCCCCCATTTAGTATTCTCACTTTTATTGTGCTGCTTCATGGTTTCAGCTGATGTTCCCCGCCTCTTTGGCTTTATTATTTCGTCTTCCCTTTTCATGACCGCCTTTTGCAAGAGCTGTATACTAACACGTGTTCCGGGTGTGTTTTTCGGTATCTTCTGAAACGGCGAATGATTAGTGTTTGGCGAGACTGCTCGTCCGCATTATTCTAGCCTTAAAGTTGGAAAGTAGACTGAGGTTCTCTTGTATTTCCCCTACGACCCTCGCCCAGACTCCTTTGTCTGTCCTACAAGCCGACTCCTGCTCCTGCTACAAGCGACCTCTGTAACGTTCTCCTTGGTGCGATTTGTAGGCGAAGCGATTCGGAGACTAACGCGATTCAATTTGACGTTGTATCTTTAATTTTAACTTTACGTAGTGGGTTATAGTTGGTGACATATACACACCATAAAAACACAAACTTTGCATGCTAATATATAACGATTATACAGCATGGGATGCAGAATAAAGTAAGTGTTAAACGGATAATGCCAATCTGAAAAGAGTTACTTTTTTGTCTAAATTAAATATATTAGGATAAGAACCAGTTAGCAGCTGTGACAAATTTTACGCTGTAGCCGGTACCTGCAGTACGTGTTTATGTGCACCATTTGTTTGATGTAAATCTAACCATTCTAACATCTTTTAAAAACAATAATCCAACGTAAACAGAAACGGAAAGACGGGAAGACAAACCAACGTCTTTTCCACCATTACCATTAAAAAGAAATAATAATAATTAAAAAAAAAAAAACATCATAAACGCACTACTCTAGAAAGAAAATAATCATTACAGGAAGAGAGAGAAAGAGAGAAGATCAAGGAAGAGCAAATCGAAGGGAAAGCCGAATATCTCTCTCTCTCTGCCTCGTGTCTTCTCTCATTCCCTAACGCCACTTCCCCCTTTTCGCCCTTCTTTCTCGTCAGGCTGTAGATCGACCGACTTTGCGTGCGACCAGAACTCGGTGTGTCTCGATATCTCGCAAGTCTGTGACACTTATCCCGACTGTCAAGACGGCTCTGACGAGGACCCCGCCACTTGCAGAATTTCTGGTAAAATCTACGTCCCCATCATCCCCCCCCTCCCCTCCCCTCCCCTCCACCTCACCGTTTCCTGTCTATTCCCGCCCACTATTCCTTCAACTAGCCCCCTCACCCCCGTTTCCCCTCTACCCCCCTATTGTCTGCCCCCGTTCCCCTACCCCTGCCCCCGTTCCCCTACCCCCCCTACCCCGTTTCCCCCCTACCCCCCCCTATTCCTTTGACAGTCCCCCCCACCCCTGTTCCCCTCTATCCCCCACCCCCCTATTGACTGCCCCGTTTCCCCTCTACCCCCTATTCCTTTGACTGCCCCCCCCACCCCCGTTTCCCCTCTATCCTCCTATTGACTGCCCTGTACCCCCCCCCCCTACTTCCCTATTCCTTTGACAGCTCCCCTGACCCCCGTGTCCCTTCTACCCCCCACCCCCACCCCCTATTGACTGCCTCGTTTCCCCGTACCCCCCTATTCCTTTGACTGCCCCCCCCCCCACCCGTTTCCCCTCGCTGTTGTAACGGTGCCCGCGGCTGAGGAAAAGCGCCACTAACTCCTTGTTCCAAAGCTCTGGATTTTTTTTCGGGAAAGACGGTGCTAAGCTTCCATAACTTCATTCAAGTTTTTTTTTTTTTTTGGCTTATATTCCGCTTGTTGATATTTATCTATAGGATTTTTTTTTCTTTCTTGCATCGAATACGCAAGAACCTTTTGATTTTTTTTCGCTTCGTAGTTATAGTTTGCGCTCGTACCGTAGTGTAGCAAAGACGCGCATTTGGACACGCGCACGCGCACGCACACCAACTCGCACACGCACGCGTGCACACACACTTACACTTACACTTACACTCACACTCACACTTACACTAACACACTCACACTTACACTCACACTCACACTTACACTCACACTCACACTCACACTCACACTCACTCACACTCACACTCACACACATACGCACACACACACACACACACACACACACACACACACACACACACACACACACACACACACACACATACAAACAGAGCAACCAGTAAATGATATTTTAAACAGCATGTTTTCTTTCTGTAGATAGAACTTTCGCATTCGATTGCATATCGTGATTTGCATTAAAAAGATCACTTATATTTATTTGATCATAAAAAAATAGATTATTAATATTTTTATACAGAAATCTTTTATATATTATAAAACTTATTCCATCTTATCGAAATTAACATAAGGGTTATCCGCTTCCCCCTCCCCCCAAAAAAAAACAAAGAAAGAAAAAAAAAACACTCAAGGCTTAATGCTTTATTTATACAATGATTTTTTACGATTTGGCTTTGACTGATTTTTCATAGCGCGCAAAAATAGTACATTTAATTTAGGTGATGGCTTAACCTTTCATTTTTTGCGCAAATCGCTTTGCTTGTGTTTCCCCTCGTATCATTTTTATATTGTTACTGTTATTATTATTGTTGTTATTAATATTATTATCAAGATTTAATATTTTTTGAATACTCTTGCTTTTATTAAAATCTAAAGTACTAGTTTATTGATCCTTCAGTTATTTTCCACATATGTACAGGTTTTGGGTTAACGGTTATATGTATACGTATATATGTGTGTGTGTGTGTATATATGTGTGTGTCTGTGTGTGTGTATGTGTTTATACATACATACATACATACATACATACATACATAAATACATATAAATATGTACATGCATACAAACATGTATGCTTATAAACGTGTATGCATATAAATGTATGTATATATGTAGATATATGTACATGATTATATAGGTAGATATAGATAGATAAATGTATGTACGTTTGTATGGATGTGTGTATATATATATATGTGTGTGTGTGTATATATATATATATATATATATATATATATATATATATATATATATATATATATATATGTATATATATATATATGCGTACAAACACACACACACACACACACACACATATATATATATATATATATATATATATATATATATATATATATATATATATATATATATAAATATATATATGCGTACATATATATATATATATATATATATATATATATATATATATATATATATATATATATGCGTACATATATATATATATATATATATATATATATATATATATATATATATATATATATATATGTACGCATATATATATATATATATATATATATATATATATATATATATATATATATATATATATATATATATATATATGTATATATATATATATATATATATATATATATATATATATATATATATTTATCTATTTATTTATTTATATATACATATACATATATACACATAGATATAGACATAGATATAGATATTTGTAGATGTAGCTATATGTATTTACATACATATATAGATATATATCACAAACGTTAGAAATTAGTCTTTTAGTTTTGCTTAACCATTAACGTCAGAATGTATTTTATTTAAAAATTTATATAACCAGATTTTATCATTTGATAGAAAGGGGTACATGTGACATCCTTTTGCTTTTTTCTTTAGTGTATCTATTTTTTTTTTATACTTAAAGATTGTGAATGTTGCATGACGGAGCTGAAAATTTCAAAAGTTAATATTTTTTCTTTAAAATAAAAAAGTCGACCTGCACCCTAATAACGTTACGCCATGATCGTTTAACTTTACCACCCATATTTTTTGACGATGTATCCCGTTTATTTCCCTTTTATGTACCAAGTGACTGAATTGTTCAAAAGAGAGAACATTTTTTGGGCTTCAGTCCTGACGTCATTGCAGTAACGTTTAGGTGTGATGACGTCAGAGGATAGTCATGACGTCATGCCTGTATAGATTAGTGACGTAATTGGCCCATGTCCAAAACGCTAAGTATTTGCTCAAAATCTTTCGAAATCATACCAAACCGCATCGGTTCGTTCGCCGATATATATATATGTATATATATATATATATATATATATATATATATATATATATATATATATATATATATATATATATATATGTATATATGTATATATGTATATATGTATATATGTATATATGTATATATATATATATATATATATATATATATATATATATATATATATATATATATATATCTTTAATGGCTAAATAAGAAAGCACTCCATTTACTTAAACGGGGAAAGAAAATGAAATTCCGAGGTCAATCGCCCGCAGTGTTGCCAACAACAACGACGTCAACAACCACCACAACACCCGTTCCGACTACAACGACAGCCATACCGTCTACAACTACACCAGAACCGTCTACAACAACACCCGTTCCGACTACAACAACAACAACAACAACCTCTACGACAACACCCGTTCCGACTACAACAACACCCGTTCCGACTACAACAACAACCGTACCGTCTACGACAACAACAACAACAACCGTACCGTCTACGACAACAACAACAATAACAACAACCGTACCGTCTACGACAACAACAACAATAACAACAACCGTACCGTCTACGACAACACCTACTACTACAACGACAACAACAAAGGCAACAACGACGACGCCCCCGCTGCCCTCCCCGCCCACTTGCGCGCCCGGCCAGCAGCTGATCCTCTGCGCCGACGGGGTGACGTACGCCTGTCAGTGCGACGGTAACAAGCAGTGTCCAGACATGGCCGATGAGGATTCACGGATATGTGGTAACACTGGCATTACACGTTGCGCTTCTTCATACGACTCGCTTGTTTTCATTCTTCGTCACTTTTTGTTTTCCTCATTTTTTTTTCTCCGTTACTGTCATTTTCTTCCTCCAGTCGTTTATCGGTATTTCTTCTCACTGATAGGAATTTTTTTCTCGTTATTTTTATATATTTATGGTTATTATTATTATTTTTTCTCTCTCGTTATTATATATCTTTGCTTATTACATGATTCATTCTTTACATTTTTCCATTATTGTTGATAAAATCATTAATATCAGTATCATTACCTTTTTCTTATCATCATTATTATCATTATTATTTATTATTATTATACTGATTATCGCCGCGATTGCCTGATTGCGGTCAGCGGCAAAACTACGGCGGTTCTATTATGAAAAGAACGTGTGAATTACCTTGATCTTTCAGGATAAATAGTGCAAGTAGATTATGATAAATCTAACACATGCTTTTAAAAATAAATGTATTAATATTAGTACTAACAAGTGTATGATAAAGAATAATCAGTGTTAATCTAATAATGAAGTTCATTGTTTTTTAACGAAGTGGAATCGCGTTTTTTTCTGATGATTAGAGGTGGTAGAAGGGCACCGCATGTGCTGTACAGGTAAAGTATCATTGCAACCTGTAGTGCATGTTACTTCCCTTTTTTTTTATTTTCCTACTTTTTTGAGCACTGAAGTCTTCACACTTGTAAGTACAAATCTTGCTAATTTTGTATTTTTTGTAATGAAGGCATTTCTAATACTGTGGCAAATACATTAATACCAGCTCATGAATTAAGTAGCAGAGTAATGCCACAATGAAAAAATACCCAAATTACATGTATACATGTGGCTGTGTGTGTGTGTGTGTGTGTGTGTGTGTGTGTGTGTGTGTGTGTGTGTGTGTGTGTGTGTGTGTGTGTGTGTGTGTGTGTGTGTGTGTGTGCGTACATACATGTATACACACATACACACACACACACACACACACACACACACACACACACACACACACACACATATATATATATATATATATATATATATATATATATATATATATATATATATACGTATATTAGCGTGTATATATCAAATATGCGAACATGTACAGCATATGTAAATATATAGGCCTCATTAACACCGCAAACATTTTTCCCCGTGCAACGAATCTGACTCCCCTCCTTACCCCCCCAGGCTGCTCATCCAACATGTTCGAATGCGACCAAGGCTCATGCATCGATCTCAGCAAGACCTGCGACGGCAAACAGGACTGCTACGACGCCACGGACGAGTTGGGATGCTCCACTGTCG